CTTCAGTGTTTCATCACCAAAGGCCTAATACATTATTGACAAATCACCAGTGTCGTACGTCAGAGATTACCACAAATGCAATCGGCGTATAAGAAAAGCGCCAGACGGCTCCGCAACAAATAGGATATTCTGACAGTGATGTAGAGGTACGGTTTTACTATCAGGAACAAACACATACATATACCACCGGCTGTAATAGAGCCTTAACTGTGCAACCCTAAACCCCCAAGTATCACTTGTAGGACAGGATATGCACACAACTAGCGAGTACCTGTTTTTGTCTTTTTAGTTGTTTAACGCCGCACTCAGAAATGTTCAATTGTACAACTGCGGTTGTAAGTTTTTGTTTGTTGTTGCGGCAATGTTCAAACCAGTAATTTGCGATTAGATTCCACTTATCCATCATTCTTCAATGCAGCGCCACTGGTTCGTCATGCCCTTGGTCGATATCTCCTCAGCTGATAAGTTTACTGACACGCAAGCAACTCCGAAAGACCTCAATCTCTGGGTGTGTTGGGTGACCCTCTGATCCGACATGCCTGTCTGCCAAAGACAGATATGAGAGAGAGAAGGAGTATAGTTACGATCACAGGCGGAACGTACCGCATGACACAATACAGCGAGACGATAGAAAATCGACCAGCAAGATATGGGCTTCGGGTGACCATAAATGTCTTAAGTCAGTCAAAATAATTTGTTTCGTAATGCCAATAGGATGAATAAAAAGAGCAGACTCGATAATACAATTCTTAGTTCTTCCTTACATGGGACGAAGTATATTTGGTTGGACAAAGATAACTTTCCAAACTATTATTATTATACATACATAAATTTGTACATAAACATCCCAATTGGCCCCAGGGTGTACTGTGCAGCTGTCGTTATATTGACTGAGTCCCATTAATAGCGCGTTCTATTTGCAATAGGTTAGCAGCGGTGCCGATTTCTAAAGTGAAAATAATCATTAGTCTTTGGAAACGGATCCTACAGACACCACTAGACTTCGTTTGGATGACGGATGTTATAGTAATGCCTCCGTGTCTGTTCCATACATTATGAAATATTATATCAGTCGCACAACTGAAATTCTTTAAGTGTCTCGCCCCTAAAGTAACCGTTTCAATATATCATTCTCACTGTGAGGGAATGCAGGTGCTGATTCCCTGATCAATCTGTGATTACTACTTTGTATGTAGTTCGATTGGAGTCAATCGTTAAGAATGTCATTATAAATAAATAACATGCAGTGTCGATCTTTTTGAAAGATTTACATGATTTTGGACTGCGAGGCCATTTGTCTCAATTTATATCCGAGTCTTTAACCGACAGACAATTCCATGTCCGCCTGGGTTCTACACTGTCTCATCACTATAATCAAGATCAGGGTTTCCCACGAGGCAGCAGTTTGTCTGTCACTCTATTTAGTATCAAGATCAACAGTATACCAAACGTTTTAAACAATTCAATTGGTGGATCGTTATTTGTGGATGATTTTAATGTTTCGTTTCGTGGCAAAAATATGAATACTATTGATAGGCAGCTGCAGCTATGGTTAAATAGAATCAGTAAATGGTGTTTAGAAAACGGGTTTAAGTTTTCAAAATCTAAAACCAATTGTGTCCACTTTTGTAGAAAATACAAAACACACAAAGACCCAGAATTACATTTAGATGGTACGCCTATTAAAGTTGTAAAAGAGGCCAAATCCCTGGGTACAACATTTGATCAGCATCTGACCTTTCTCCCAAACATTAAAAATAATGTTTAAAGAACAAATGCCTGAAGGCACTGGATTTACTTAAAATTGTTTCTAATTCGAAATGGGGAGGGAGAATTGCATAACGATCTTCCTACTGGTCAATATGACATCGGATTGTGTTGGTTACCCAGCCATGTTGGAATCAACGGTAACACATTGGCCAATCCTGCTGTTAAAGGCAGCACACAACAAACCTGAGACACCAGTTTTGCTATATTACAGTGATTATGAACCTGTTATGAGAAGTTACATCCGTGATCTAATGCAGAAGAAGTGGGACACCCACGTTGGCATCAGTAAGCAAAATGCAATAAAAGCAACTATTGGTTACATCTACTTGGGTTGTCAGTCCAGAGTTTGAGAGGTTATTTTAAGAAGATGTCGTATTGGTCATAGCATATATAGTTTTGAATATTTATCAAAACGCGAGGATCTTTTTTGTATCCCTTGTGATGAGAGAATTACAGTCGAGCATGTGCTGCTCGATTGTTTTGACTTTTCAAATGGAACCTGGTATGGTGATCTTCCTTTAGTTACTGGAGATCTATAGCCCCTTTCTACATATTTCTATGTAGTGATATCTGTTTAAGATTACATGCTAGTTTTTAATGTTCATCTGTGTTAGATAAACTATCTTACTGTTCTTCGTTGCAGGTATTATATTCACAAATTTTATTTTAACATGGAACTCTTATAGTCACTATATGGCTCAAATACTGCCAATATGACTTTAAATTTTAACTCACTCACCCACTCATTTTGTATGTAGGACATATTGATCTGAAATAAATCTGCCTTCAAGTTGTAAATCAATATTTGCATGTCAAGTTAACGCAGGGATGTCAATCAAGTCAGCATTTTGTGTTAACAGCCAACTCAACAATTTGATAACAAACGTGATGCATGCGTTGACAAAATATGCACATTAACACCAAGATTGGCACCAGGATGTACTCTGCAACAGTCAGTATAGTGTTGGAGCTCCTTTCATAGCACGTTTTATTTGCAAATCAAATTAGTAGCGGTGTGGATTTTCAAACTGGAACTAATCACATGTCTTTGACTACAAAAACCACATACACTACTTGATTGCGTTTAATTAATAGAAGTTATAGTAATGCCTCCTTGTTTCCTCCAGGCATTCGACATTATGTCTATGGCTTTAAGTTTCAGTTCTACAACCGAAATTGTTTTCGTGTCTCCGCTAATACAACTATTTCAATATATCATTCTCACTCTCAGAGGCTCTATAGAGCAGCATCAATCTTTGATTGCTACTTTGTATGTAGGACATATTGATCTGAAATAAATCTGCCTTCAAGGTGTAAATTGTTCGTTGGATGTTAAAGTTAACGTCAACAAAGATATAAATTTGTATGGATTAGTTTGAACTGTCGACTGTGCTTTTTCAAATCGTACGCTGACATGGTGTAAGGCACGGTTAGTTCGTGTCATCGCAGCATCATCTGAGCGACATGGAATTCATAGGCATCATCCCTCAACGGAATTTTGAATGATGTATGTTTTGTACTGATGATTTTAGCTACTCTTTTCCAAATCAAAAGTTGAAACTGCAACCTTGATAAATCCCAGACTGGGAATAATTACAGTTCTTTCGCCACCTGCATTGACCCTTGTTGGATTTACACCATCCCTTCAGTCGTTGGTGATTGTATTCTATTTCAACCAAACATTAACAGAACACATATCCCACTATTAAAACACGTAGTATGCCAAAACCGTTGATTGAAATAGGACTTACATCCCTTCTCAGGGGACATTCATTTTACGCTACTTGAACCCCCTCTCTCACTAATTGCCCAAGCCATGACGCTTCTCGGCTGATTGGTCTCGCTAACTCCATGCACAATTTCACGCATTCTCCACTGACTCTTTACCACGAAAAGACAGCTTGGACAGACACACAGTGTGACATTAAGGTTAGTATTCATTTAATTAAAGTATTATTGCATTTAATCCTTGCAGTATATTTATAATAAACGTATATCTATTTACTATCATTTTAATAGGTATTATATTGTATAGCATGTAAGTGTACTATATGTAATTATGCTAGCTTTCCAACCCTAAGCTATAAACATAAATAAGTATCATTAATATATTCTTATCTTTACTATCCCTTTCACTGAATGTGTGAGATGAGAGAATGTGTTTTAATATAAGTTGCTATGTTTTAACTATGATAACTATAAGTGTAATTATAAATGTGTGGAAGTAATTTTATGTTCATGAATGTGGCCCTAAATCTACTCCTCATTACATTGTATATTATTTATCATTTAATATTATTTACAGCAGATACGTCCCTGTCCATAAGACTGGTGCTGTGCCCGATTGGTGTACACCCTTGTACCACCCACGGGGTATGTGCATATTGTAATGGTAGGGTTATTTTTTTAGTAGAAATTAGGCTTGTTTTTGGGGTTGGGACAGGGTTAGGCATAGGCTCGGCTAAAATAATACACCTGGCTTAGGCTTCAGTGGGCTGGTCCATTTAGATCTTGAGGGGTAAGTACCCATTAGGCATATGACTAGTATGCTTCTTCCCGAATGTTATGCAATGGGATGGGCCAGTGCATGAGCATCTCATGAGTAGAGGGATCAGTCCACTGAACTTTTCTTTTGTAGGCATTTATTGGGTAATTTTCAGAGCATGTTTTTTATTGGATAAGAGTTATAGGTTAGGGGTATAAAAGGGCACATCATTTTTTTCTCTGGACTCAGAGGCGAGAAAGGTGAGAAATTCACAATTGTTTCTGTAGACTAGGCAAACAGAGTTTTAAGATTGTTTTGGTTTTAGTTTAAAGAAGAAATAAAGTTTTGGTTAGATAATGTTAGGTAGATAATTTTTGTTATATTTTGCAGGTAACGTTATTTGTGGGCATTAAGTTGGGATAAGGGGCAATAGTATAGGTATATTTAACAGGGTTTTCACTTTTCTTAGGACCCTTGGAGGCATTATTATTTTGTCTTGTATTTAACTTAGTTTTATGTTGATTTTATGATATATATTAGTTGCGTTGGAAATAAATTTATTTGGTTTGCAAAATCTTGTGTTTGGTTGTCATTATATTTTTAAACCCCTGAATCCTGCGAACCTGAGGACCCGAAACAGGATCCTCCTGTTACAACATGTATAATTTATATATCCATGTATTTAAGAAATACAGTTCGCTCTACCACCATGTATAGTGTAATAAAACACTCTTTCGCCCTGAACTATTATATTTAAAGTACGAGGACGCTTGCGTCCGAGTGCTTTAACGTTATAATAATTCAGGGCGAAAGTGTATTTTATCGGTTGTGTAATGCATTGTCGGACAAGTTCTTAGATGTAAGAAATCAGTAGAAGTTCATAGCAATGGGTTTTTACAATAATTGGTTGAAAGGAATGCATTACTAGCTGATGCAAGCACTAGTTTGAGATCAGTTTTTTATGCTTATGATTTCAAATGATGTTTTCCACCATAAACATGTGTTCATTTATTTCATTTAAAAAAAAGGACATGGAACATGGGGACTTAACGAAATGTTTTCTGGAAACATCCGTCTACAAAATACATTTTTCCTGCAGTGCGAGTCTCCTTGTCAACGGGCTTACACCACGTGGGCCACACGGATGATGCACTGTACACAATAACACAATTATCCTTAGTCTTCTCGTTCAGTGTAATCGTGAAAATTCAGCACCTGCAAAAGATACGTTTACGCATATCAGTGAAAATGTAAAACGATGTTGTGATTGCAATATTCTTCTTCTGTTGTGGTATAAACTTCAAAATCAAAGTTTGCTTATCATTCTGTTTAAAAGAAAGGATGGAGTGCACAAACTATTTACAACTCTGACGAATTCCGTAAATTAGTGTTTTTGGTTTGAAGAACAAAATTACATGTCGACGAGTTCGACCGTTAACAAGCCAATGTGCTTAACATAATATCGGTGTAATAATCAACTATACAGACATGTTGAATATAAGGTTAACAATTTTATAAAATAGTTTGGAAAGGAAAAAGGGATCCTTGTCCAATGAGCAATACTTCGTCCCGTGTCAGAAGCTCACAGAACTAAGAATTGTACTATCGAGTAGTATACACAATGGTGGAACTGCATCAGGTCCTCACCAAGGCCTTAATTTTCCAAATTAAGGCCTTGGGAAGTCCCCGATGCAGTTCCACCCATTGTGTATACTACCACTGAGGTGCATGCAAAATTTCACGAAAATCGGTGGAATAGTTTAGTTACAGTGACAGTAATTTATCATACTACAACTAATAACACACACACAACACTGACAAATCATGAGAAGTATCATACACTGGGCGATCTAAAAGGGACTGTGTCGAGAGGTACGATCATCAACTCCTCTCTGAACAATGCTCTAGGCAGTCCGTCTTTCAAGTAGTACAATTTCGGTTCGCCGTCTTTGATGTCGACAAGGTCTACGCGCGTTTTCTGCTGTCTCCCTTGTATTCCTCCCGGCTGCAGCTGGTACAAGTACCTAACGCTGACCCGGTCCGGTAATGTTTTCTCCGTTTTATCGCGACGTGCCGCTGCCGACGACGATTCGACAGATTTCAGTTTGATGGCTTCGACGGGTCTCTTGCCCACGAGTCTGGTGACTTCGTTGTTGATGGCATCCACCACTCGCAGCAAGCGTACGACCCATTCCGTGGTTCTGTTTTTTGGGATCTATTAAATCCTGCGAGTACTGATGTGAGAACAGGCGTTCGGCTAAGGTGCGATTAATTCTCTCGACTATGGCTTGGCTTTGGTGAGATCCTGCCATGCCTCGTCTCACCTGGACTTTGTGCTTGGACAGCGGCTCCCATGAACTCGCATCCAGGATCAATTTGCAATGCGGCAGACCAGGTCATTCGACTGCGTTTGTAGATGCGTTCTAAGGCTTTGTCGACTTCGTTCAAATCTTTGGTCATCAACGGTTCGGCATCCTTGTAGCGACTGGCGACGTCGACGACTGTCGGAGCATACTTGTAGGTTTTGCATCTCACCCTATCATGAGGTAGAAACAGGAGGTCGGCTTGGTGGACGCGATTCGGCGCTGAAATGTCGAATTTTCTTCTCGGGATGTACCGAGGCGCCAGCAGGTAAATTCGCTAGATGACTTGTTTGTAAGACGTCTTCCAAGACTCTAGCGGCTTTGGCGAATTTCGGGATGGTGTCCAAGCCTTTCCAGTACCCCCCGGGCTGTAATATATTTTCTCCATGATGTATGTATTGCGTGCGTTTTAATTATTTAATATATGCGTGTGTCCGTACGCGTAAGTGGTGACTCCGTCAATGGCAATCCATCGTTTTGTGTCCATGGGAGACAGCGACGTCTTGTTGATTCTCAGTCCATATATCCTGTGTCCGTCGCTTCTCAGCATGTTCATCTGGTGATTGAACGTTTTATTCTTGAACAGGGCTTCCTTGAATCTGGCGTGCTGGATGTGTTTTTTCACCAAGTGTTTTTTCACGCCTTTTGCCTTTCTAAATTCGTAGTCGGCTGCTTTTTTGATGGAATACATCTTGGGTCTCAAGCCGATGTACTCGGCGATCGGCGTGCCAGAACCGAATCGTTTTCATCGCGACAGTACAAGAAATTAATCCGAGGCAACATCATGGAATTGAAAATATCGGTTTTAGACATCAAAAACGATCCCATAAGTATAGGATATCTCAGCGCGACGCTGCACATGCAAAAACAATGACCGAAACTTCGGGTCCCGGAACGACCCTGCAACCGAAAAAGTGCCCTACCATCGTGCTCTCAGACCTTGGGGACATGCGCGGATTCGCCGAGCCTGGAATCGAGAACAAACTGTACTCATTGGAACTGAAAAACAGCATGTACAAACGCGTTGAAGTGCCCACCGTCAAAGGCAGCATCAGCGCCCGGTGAATTCCATGCTCATTAAAGTCTTCCTGGACGAACCACCGTCGACATTGCACGAAGTCGAAATCGTGAAAGGGATCAAACTCCGGTGGTCCAAGAAACAACAACACCACGTTTGCTCCATTTATGTTGCGGTGAACGTGAACACGTACACCAGCCTGCAGGGAGTCACCGTCACCATTGAAGACACGTTATCGCTCGCCAAGATTTTCCTACCCGACAACATACATTTCATGGGCTTGAAGTGCACCTCTGAGAAATTATCCGAAAACCAATTAACAACTATTTCGTAGCATATAATATACTAGATAAACCATCATCCCAACGCTAGCCAATCTAGGGGACACACGGGGATTCGATCTGCCCGCCGAGGAAAACACCTTGTACGTCCTGCACTTACAAGACAACGTGTACAAACAACGAGAAGTCATCTTCGAATCTCAGTTGAACTGGATTATTAACCTGGTCCTGACCTACCCCTATCTTATCATGGATAATAATGATGGTGGCGTCTCGCTAAAAAATAATGGGATACTGCTGGGGAGGTTTGATCCTGGAATATTAACGTGGACGAGCATAGCGTCATTACCAGATCAAACGGCTAACATGTTAGTCCCCAATGAGAAAAAAATCCTCGTTATTTTTAATAAATTATACTGATGTGCCAGACTCATGGATTAGTGTGATACAAGGTTCTACTCTTATTATCGAAGTATTTCTAGGAGATGCCCCTGGAGTAGATATAGACCTTCTGCATGGGTTAAAAATACGCTGGCATGATCGCCATAAAAAAAAACGTTGTCTTATTTGCATACAACCAGGAAGTACCCCCACCGCAAACCTAGATATTATTACTTTTCAAAAGAATTTCATTAACCTCCAGACCATTTATATATACAAAACTTGTACCTCATCAGCTTAAAGAATATTCATCAAACATTGACTGACGACTAATTAAATACTATTTTATAAAAAGAGTATATATACAGAATGGGACTGTACCCGGTCGTGGATGAAGTGGTGAAAACACTTGAAACCGTAGACGGGTTCCGTTTGCAACAGTTGCAAAATTAAACGACAACTAGAACAAGATCGCGACGCGCGGAGAGAGCACTGCATTAAAAAAATCACAGAGCCGTTAATTACGTGGACAGTGTTGACACCGCCTTGATGGTAACCGGCATGGGATTAGTCTTGGCAGGCGGCGGGTTGTTGACCACCATCGTGGCCACGCCCATGGTGCTGGGCATCGAAATAGCGGCCGTAATGACAGTGTTGGTGGGTTTGGCGGTTAAGTACGTGTCTAGCAGACTGCAACGTAAAGCGTTGAAACACGACGAAATTAGAGTTCTAGCTGAAGCGAAGCTCTACACAATAGAAGATCATATTTCCACCGCGCTCACGGACAGTAAAATCTCGCAGGAGGAGTTTCGTTTAGTTCTCCCGGAACTCCCCAAATACCACAGAATGAAAACCAAACAAATTATTATCGGAGAAGATTCACAATAAATTGCTTTGCGGACATCAACATCACAGCCGAGTAGACAGCCGAGGTTTGTGAGCACCCTTCATGATGTTCACAGTGTGAAGATATGAGTAAACACAGTTCACTCTATTTTAACAATGTAATCAGTGAGATGATGTACATAAGTATCAAACAGCTTCATTTGCAATGGGGGTTCGATTCACGACATGGGTACATTGTGTGAAGCTCATGTCTGGTATTGCTGGAATATTTTCTAAAAGCGGCTCAGTCACCTAACAGTCGTGGTGGTTGTAACAATAGGTAAAGATAGAAAGGTTAAAATAGCAAGATAGAAAGGTTAAAATAGCAAGATAGAAAGGTTAAAAAAAGTAGCAAAACATCCCCGGTAGCGACAATTCTCCTAGGGTGAAGTAGAAAGATGAAGGTTGCCCAACTTCACCCAAGGGAACTTATGTGTCGGCTACCTTTCTCTTACCACGAAAGTGCCCTGATTCAGCTGAGCGCAGCTGATGTGATCCTGATTCCTTGCTATGACCAACGAAACACATGAAAGTGGCAAGGAACCCACTGAAGCAACGGTGGGATACGTACTATCAATGCATAAACACTGCTGAACACGATAAATGTATCGATGGACGCTGAAAGAAATATTTAGAAGCCACAACCCATGATTTTAGAATCGACATTCATCAGCATAGAAGGTGCAAAAGCTATTTATAGTTTTAATACACTGACGCTAGTAGAGTCTGCTGGTGTAGAGGATACTGAGTTCGAAACCCTCCCGTTGTCATAGAAAACATTTTCTTTTTTTTGAAAAACAAACATTTCACCCTACCAACCCCATGCTCACTAAAAAGTTATTATTTACTAAACTATTCCACCGATTTTCGTGACATTTTGCATGCACCTCAGTTG